AAGCCCTGGTCAGGCAACTTAAAACTTGTATTTCACTTTACATTCATATTCTGGGTCTGACAATTCCAGGGTCTGAATTCTTAGAGGGTAGGGTTCCACTTGTTACTTGTGCTGACTTACGCAAGTTGTCCCTATTTTTTCCTATAAAAATCCTAAGGTTGGTTTGTTTGTTTTCTGGAAGCTTTCATTAGTTTGTTGTTCTGAGAGAGGGTCTTGCTATGTAGTTCAGCTGGCCTTGAACTTACTATTAAGACCAGGCTGGCCTCAAACTCACAGCAATCCTGCCTCACCTCTTGAGTACTAGGATTTGAGGTATGTCCCACCATGTCTGGCCTCACTGGAATTTCTGAAACTGGTACTGCAAAAACTTTCTTCCAGGGAGGATCTGTATTTAATTCTAAGTCACCAGGGGCCCTACCAACTAAATTCACAGAATGTGGTCTTTCCAGACACAAAGATAGCATTACCTTAGGCTCCAAACTGGCATGAGGACTGGCTCTTGACCACATATTTATTATTATTATTTTGGTACCAGGGATTGATCTCAGGACCCTGCCCTTGCCAGGCAGGCGCTTGTACCACTGAACTATCTCCTGGGCTGGCTACATATTCTTGGAGGAAACTTTTCTTCTTCCAACCCAAACAAAGGTAAGAAAGTTATGTTGCTATAGCACAAATTAAATCAACAAAAGCCAGGAACGGGCTGGTGAGATGGCTCAGTGGTCTAAAGCACCTACTTAGAACAAGCTTAGCAAAGCACAGGGACCATGGGTTCAATCCCCCAGCACCACATGCCAGCCAGCCCCGCCCCCTGGTGGGCTGAGCTGGCCACACACACACACACACACACACACACACACACACACACACACAAATAAATAAATAAAAGCCAGGAGCTCAGAAAAAGAAAGAAAATTTTACTGACACTAGCAGACTGCAGAGGGGTAATCTCCAAAGCGCATGGTGTGGATTAGAGAGCTTATTTACAAGGTGGCAAGCAGAAGTCACAAGAACGAGATAAGCACTTGCTGAAGGCTATGGGCCAATGGGTATCTTGCGGTGAGCACAGCTGTACGCAGCAGTCATTTTATTAGCACACTTACAGAAGTATCAATTCGTTGGTAAATCATGATTCAGCTGAGTTCAGTGGCAGAGAACTCAATGTCTGCTGCTTTACTGAACAAATGGCTACAGTTAGGTCAGGATCTCTGCTTCAAAGTCTGCTTTTTTCAGATAAAAATTATTTGTTTTTCTAACTCACTCTTAGAGGTGAAGATTCTTTCACATTCTTGGTTTGAAGGAATCTCTGCTCTAACTTATGAGTCCAAAGCTTTGCTTCTGGTCCCCATGCCACCTGAGGACCCACATTCTAGGCCTTGTGGCTTAGCCCATGCTCCCAGCGTGGCTGATGCCTTCAGCACTGGGCCTCTCCCCCGCTTGTTTATTCTGTTCTGGCTCTAGAGGATTTCATTCCACAAGCTCAAAAATATCCTTCTGAGGGGCCAGGGAGATGGCTCAGTGGAATAAATGCATGCCTGGCAAGCGCAGGGGCCTGAGTTCAATCCCCGATTACACACACACACACACACACACACACACACACACACACACAATCCTTCTGTAAAGCTGCTCTCGTTAACATTCTTAGAAGCTTCATGCCATTGTGTTTGCTGAAATTCAGTCTGTCCTACTGGCAGGAATAGAAGTCTGAAGGCTCTTCCTGAGTATCTTACAAATCTAGGACTTAAGCCTTGCCCACCCAGCTAGCATTTAATTTCTCTTCAGAAATTCTCCTCCTCCCATCCATCTTTTTTATAAGACCGAAAGGTGAATGCAGATTCTTTCCTTGCTGTTTCATATTCCAGTGTAACTTGCAAATTCTAAATTCAAAATCTCTCTTGAATTTGCCCTTTCCTTCCTTCTGGCTACTATAGCTTGCTTTTGTTTTTTTTTTTTTTGCTCCAAATGCCTTCAGGGCAGGTTTGGCCGCTTGAGTTGTGGGGATCGAACCACAGCAACCAGAGCCTGACTGCTTTGCTGAAGCAACCACTTAAAGAACTGAGCTAAGGGGCAGGCCCCCATGGCTACTATAGCTTTCTGAACTTAGCATTTATTTTAGGAACTATTGAAATAACCTCCATGTTCCTTCTTGCCATCCTCAAATCCACACCTCACACAACTGCAACTGTACCCTATTTATAAGGGAATTCTAGCTATGTAATTTGCATGAAGTCCTGAGCAACTCCAACATTTAGTTAATTTTCATTTATTTGCAACTCCTTTATTGTTATCAAGATAGCCTCAATGCCCCCCATGGCGTGTAAGGTCCTCCACACCCAATCCTTCATCTGCTGCAGACAGGCCAAACCTCAAGCAGGCTTCTGCTTGACCACTCCTTATCTTTCGGAACCCAGGTCAAAAATCTTTGCTTGCAGGAAACAAGGCAAATCCTTACTGTACCTTTATCACTGAACTATGTGTTTAACTGTTATTTCCTAATCCGAGCCCTCGGGAGCTATGGCCAAATTGCCTGGGCCACACACACAGAGTCCAAGGTCAAGCTAAACTACACAGCAAGATTCTTGTCTCTGAAAAACCAACCAAACAAAAATCCTGTTATTTCACTTATCATACTGTATTTCAATCCTGTTATCTCAAGTCTTATGAATCCAAGGGCAGAGGAAATTTCCTCCATATACCCAGCACTGCCAGTTACATAAGGTACTGTGTATCTGTGAAATTAATAAATGAACAGTCTTGACTTCTGTAATAGCTCTAGAAATTGATCCTACTTTCCACTGCCAAAGTTGAAGTCCTTTTTTCTACTCTAGTCTTTCTGCCTCCAGCTTATCAACTTCTGTAAATGTTTTTAAAGGACAGAAACTCTAAATCACAACTTTTTGTCTTTTTGAGGCAAGACCTTGTTATGTAGTTCAGGCTGGCCTTGAGCTCACTCTGTAAAAGATATTTCCATTTCTTTTGATTTTTTTTGTACCAGGACTCAAACTCAGGACCTTGCACTTGCCAGGCAGGCACTTGTGCCACTGAGCTATGTCCCCAGCCCTGAGGCGCAATCTTGACCTTGCTGCACTTACCCTCAGAAACCTCTTCCCACACCAGCCCTTGGCTCCCTTTCCCTGCTATTCCAGCAATGTACTGATGTCCCACAGGCTGCTGGGCTCCGTCCCTAACCACTGGGACCTGGTGCAGCATGAGCAGGCAGTCTCCGCTCTAACTTCTCCCAGCATCTAGTGCTCATTAGCTCTAGACAGCCTTCCAGAACCAAATGAAGATTTCACATTGTTCATGGCTCCAGGACTCCAGCGGTGTCTAGTCACTGTCCTCCCGTTTGGATTTCATGTGGCTCCATTTCACGTGGCATCATAAGGATTTTCAAATGGTAATCAAAGCGACTAAAAATCAATCTGCTTTCTTATCACCATCAGGTGACAATACAGACAATGCCAGAAACAATGTTCCCTCCCACCAGCATGCCACAGTGCTGAGACACTGCGGCTCCAGAATCATTTCCTCCTAAAACCTATCCTACAGCCACAAACAGAATTAGTTATTCCTTCTCAAGCCCAGAATCGCCTCCAAGACATGGGCATGGTAAGGACAGCTTAGCTCAAGCCCGAGTGCAGACCCTCACCACAGCCTCACATTTCTGCCTGGCTGCGTTCCGCAGGCTGCCTCCCCTGTCTAGGAAGGTCCTCGGTGAGTGACACACACTAAGTCTCAGTACTGGTATTTCTGAGACATTCAAGCTGTACACTCAGTTCTTAGCCCATACTAAATGTATAGAGAACAGAAGTTGAATTTCAGGGGCTGGCATGCACAGAACCCCATGACCTGGACAGTTCTCACTCTTCCTATTGAACCTTTATACAGCATTCATTTCTCTAAGTGACTTACAAACTTACTATTTCTATCACATAGAAGTCTATTTATATTACAATACTTTGAATCTGATTTACTTACATGCAGTCTCAGAAGAAAATTTAAATGTTCAGTCCTGTTTTAGAGATGTGAATGTAACACTTCCAGAACGGCCCCAGGTATAGGAATCCTGCAGCCTCTGCCTGTTGTCCCAGCTACTTATGAGGACGAAGCAGAATGGCTTGAGCCTCATTCATGACAACCCTGGGTAGCACAGTAAGATTCCCACCTCAGAAGACAAAGCAGACTGGGGGAGGTGACAGAAGCCTGTCGTGCCAACACTGGGAGGCTGAGGCAGTATGACTGCTGCGTTCAAGGACAGCCTGAAGTATACAGGGAGACACCATCTCAACAACAGTAAGAAAAATATCAAGCAAAATCCCAAAACCGAAACAACTAAAACTAGGGACAGCTAAAACAGAAGAGTGGGACACACTTTTATTATACAACCTTTTATTTTAAAAAAATGTTTCTTTTTACAGAATACACTTTCTCATTAGCAATTCCCACAAAGGGAAAGTAATTTATTACTTACAATTTTACATTTGTAGACCGATCATTCTACAGCAAACAAAACATTTTTGAGAATGAATTTGGAATCGGAAGTATTCTGATTCATCTGCAAGAAGATCTCTTCCCTAAATTCAGAAGCTCTCTAAGCTTTTCTTCATAGGATTCAGAAATCTGTATTATGAAATATCAGCATTTCCTAATTTCAAAGTCTCTCTAGGGTGCAGAGTAATTATCATTATCTGGTACCAAATGAACAGTCAGGGACATTTCCAAAGATTAAACACTATCTGATTTTCTGGAAAGTAGTTACTCATGAATTTCCCTTTGTCTATTATTCCCAGGAAAAATGTGAAAGTACAGTCATGTATTATTCCCAGGAAAAATATAAAAGTATGGCCATGAATTGATAGTAATAAAGCTGAATTCTCTTTAAAAGATAAATTAAAAGGCAAAAGCTCATATGCAATGTTTAATTATACTGAGTCTTGTGAGTTGGGAGGCAGACCCATTAACTCACTAAAACACAGAACTCAGTCTCACTATTCTTGGATACAATTCCTCTCGACCTTAAATGCTACAAATGACCATCTCACAAGGCCCGATGAACTTATCCGTTACTTTTTGCTTACTGTGAGCTGAATGGCATGACAGGGCAGAGGCAAAGAGGCGCACAATCAATCCTTAAAGTAGTAAGTCCAGAAGATCAGAGCTTCCACAGCATGGCAACAGCTTTGCAAATGCCCACGTCATGGTAGTTGAAGTAACAAAGGCCAGCAAAAGTTAAAGCTGAGAGTGCCAAAAGGCCTGCCTTGGCAGCTTTCTGGGGCACAGCTCCATGAACATAGTCCGTCACAACTTGTCCAAGGCCCCTAGAGAGGAAGAAGAGTCACAGTACCAATTAAAAATCCTAAGTTAGAAAACGGTATAGGTTGTTTGGCTGCAAAGACAGACGCAAAATGTACTGTCTCTGTCACTCCTGTAACTGACTGCTTCTTTAGGGAATTTTGTGTACCTTTTAGTAAGCAGTTATTCCTGCACTTCTTATTTATTTATTTACTTATTTTTTGAGACAATAAACCAAAACAATTCAGGGTTATAAAATCTAAACCAAAATCAAGAAATCAAGAACTTACTAACAGGGCTGGGGAGATGGCTCAGTGGAATAAGCACTTGTCTGGCAAGCGCAACGGCCTGAGTTCAATCCCTGGTTCCACCAAAAAAAAAAAAAAAAAAAAATTTACTAACATATAACAAGGACTTTTTTTTCCTTTCTTTCTTTAGTACTAGGGATTGAACTCAGGACCTTGCATTTGCCAGGAGGAAATTTTACTCTTTAGAATCAATTTTCCACAATCACTTAGAAACAGTAACTAAATGCTCCTCTGCTCATGAAATGCTAATATAAATATGATGCTCTTCAGGGTTTTTCATTAATTAAAAAATAATTTATGAAGCAGATATTAAGGGTCAGAACATGTCATAAATATGTAGAGTACAAAAAGTAAATTGGTTCATCCACTTTTATGGAGCCTTAAGTTTTGCTTCTAGTCCCTGTGTCATCTTTTCAAGGAGGGAGATAGGAGGAAAGGGAGGAAGAAAAGGTGATTTACCTTCTAAACTGTGTGGTTTTTTTCAGTATAGTTATATAGTTGTAAGCTATCATCATTTAACTCCAGAACATTTTCACTATCTTAAAAAAAAAAAAAGCTCTAGCCATTAGCCTATTACCAAACCAGTAATTTGCTTCTGTCTCTGTGGATTTGGGATGTGTGTGTGTGCATGTGTGTATGTGACTGAGGATACAACCCAGGGCCTCCGCACTAAGCTACATCCTCAGTCCAATTTTTTTGAAACAAGGCCTTACTAGGCTAATTTTTCCATCTTGGTTCAAACTTGCAATCATCCTGCCACTCAGAAGGTTGGGATTACAGGTAGTACCAACACGCCAGGCAATTCTAGACATTTCAAACAAATTAAATTCTGGTTTTGGGGGCTGGGAAGATGGCTCAGTGGAATAAGTGCGTCCCTGGCAAGTGTAAGGGCCTGAGTTCAATTCCTGGTTCTGCCAAAAAAAAAAAAACAAACCCTAAATTCTGATTTTTGTGTGACACTCCTTTCATTTAGCATATTTTCAATGTCCATACATGCTGTATAGCAGATAACACCTCACACTTTTGTGTGACTAGTATTCCATTCCATAATGTGATATTTTATTTAAGTATTTATCAGCTAATGAACATTTGAACTGTATAACCAACATGCTATGAATATTCTTGGGCTGGGGAGATAGCTCAGTAGAATAAGCACTTGCTTGGCAAGTGCAGGGTCCTAAGTGCAATCCTTGGTACTGCAAAAAAATAAAAGATAAAAATCATGAGTTATAAATATTCTTGTGCAAGTTTTTGTGTGGAAACATAGTTTCAATTCTCTTGGGCATTTACCCAAAAGTGCAATTGCTGAGTCACAGGTCAACTTGTGTTTTAACTACTAAAGTGTTTTCCAAAGTAGCTGCCATATTTTACATTCCTGGCAGAATGTATGAGGTTCCAGCTCCCCCACATCCTCACAAAAACCTGGTATTGCTCATCTTCTCACTGCAGCCATCCTAAGAAGGTATGGAGTGGTATCTCACTGTGGTGGTTTTAATTTGCATTTCTCTAATAATAAATGATCTACAAGTATTGATTGGTATACTGACCACTTGTGGGTTGTCTTTGGAGAAATGTAAGTTTTTGGAAAAGGTGACTCTGGTTATAGTGCACCAAAAGGACAGTAGGAAAACAGGACAAAAACACAAAAATAAAACTAGTTAGGGGGTAAGTAAAGTTGTCTAGGTAAAGCTATTGGTTTAACCTGGACTCACAACCAAGGATATGCTGTCAAGTCACAACTGAGGCTATGCTCTGAAGATGGATTTAATGTTGGTGAAACAAGAAATATGAGGCAATGAGCAATGTGTGTTCCCAGGTGAGGCAGGACAGTAAAGGGGCAGGAGAGAAACGGTGGAGGGAGAAAGGGAGAGCGAGAGGGAGGGAGGAAAGAAAGGGGAGAAGAGAGGGAGGAAAGGAGAGAGAGAAAAGGGGAAGGAGAGAGGGAGAGAAAGGGAGAGGGGAGGGAGAGAAAGAGAAAGGGGGAGGGACGAAGGGCAAGAAATAGAGACAGAGAGAGATAGACAGACAGCCACAGACAGAGACAGAGAGACAGAAAAGTTGATCTTGCTGTACTGCCAGTCTGAATTGTTGGCCTCACACTCCAGAATGAGCCTCTTCAGCCTACTGAGCAGCTAGGATTACAGGCACGACCCATCAGTCATACACCTACAACCGTAGGCCACTCTAAGAATTCTTTCAGTTTGCATAAGGAGATAAGTAACGGCTTTGAGAAGTGTAAGGTCTTGTCCTGATATTTTAAGAGGATTACTGGAGCAGCTGTGTTGGAACAGACACAAAGCAGAGAAGTTAGGAGACCTACTACTGGAATCAAAGATGATGCTAGGTTTGGCTTTAACAAGAGCAGAATGGAAATGCCATTAATTCAGATGTGCATGAGTATAGGAGGAACAGATTAGGAGAAGTTCAAGAACTCAGTTTTATAGACGCTATATTCAAAATGCCTATTAGATATGGAAATGAAGATATCAACTAGGCAGTAAATACATAAACCTGGGCATATAGCTATTTTGTTTATAACTAAATTTTCCATAGGTCTTTTTGAGACAGGTTTTGCTATAGTTCAGGCTGGCCTTCAACTCACTTTGTAGCCCAGGATGCCCTCTAACTTGCAGAAATCCTCTTGCCTCAGCCTCCTGAGGAATGCACCACTACGCCCAGCCCTTTCTATAGGTTTTTAATCTCTCTCTCTCTCTCTCTCTCTCTCTCTCTTTTTGGCAGAACCAGGGATGGAACTCAGGCCCTGGCAAGTGCTTATTCTATCTACTGAGTTATCTCCCTGGCCCTGGTTTTTAATATCTCATTCAACTTTTCCCTCATATACAATACACAAGACAAGCTCTCAGGCATCGTGACTCCAAAGGGACCGCTATACTTGCCAGTGACTGTGGAGAGTGAGGGCTGCAGCCAGGGAGTAGTCCATTGCAGAGCAAGGATTCAAATACGCAGCAGGAAGCAGGCCCAGGAGCAAAACACTGACTGCTCTTTCACTAGTCCAGTGGACAGACGCAGCCTTGGAACCAGCTACAAGAAAGAGCAGATTCACACGCTGTCAGGAAGACACACACAGCTCTTACATCCGACATGTACCATATAATAACCTGAACTGCCAGAAAGCTGGACGGCAGAGATAAGATGTAACTCTATACCCTTTCTTTGAAGCCGTCTAGTGCAAAGGTGTCTCAATACCCATCTACGCTAATAAGAACATGGATCTACTGGACATCTAGGTGAGAAGACAGGTGAAATCTCTTTGTGAAATTAGGCCAACCATGGACTTTAGCTGAAGCAGTCCAGGCTGGCTCAAACTCACAGTACTGGTACTCACCTGCTTCTGTCTCCCAAATGCTGCAATTACTGGCATGCAACACCACACCTGGCTTTACTGACACCTTTTAATCATTGAAAGTAATCAGCATTACCCACTTAAGACAGAATTAATTGAACTATCTCAAAGACAAAGGATTAAGGTCAGTTTTTTATCCCATTGCTTACAAATAAATGTAAAACAAGACACAGAGCTATGTACACAAAAAACTATCTGGGTTTTAAATGCTTCTTCGAGAGGCTATCTTTTTTGGATTACACACTTCTTCGGGAAATCTAATAAAAAAATGGAGTTTCTCCCCATGAAGTATCACATAGGCAAATACATAAAAATGTATGTGTATTATTTCAGGACACTTCTTTCAAAGTTTTCTCCAGAACTACTCTGCTAAATCTAACTTGAACTATGCAAAATAATCCAAAACAAAACCTTCTCAAAGACAGAAAAAGCCTCAGCAAAAACCAAAACTAAAACAAACTATATTCACCTAGTCTTTCTTAACTAAGAAATAACTCTTAAGTGGTTGACTTAAGAATCAAGAGAAGTCTGTCCTCTTCAGACTTTAAAAATAGAAATACACTTTTCATTATTCTCCTTCAGGTTTTCTAAGATTAATCTGAATAATAGCTACATTCATTTAGGATCTGTCGTATGGTTTTAAATCAAACTAAAAAAAAAATAAGCAATACACATAATGCAACACACAAGACTTGAGTTCTTTCTTTCTTTTTGGGGGTTTTTTGAGACAGGGTCTCACTGTACACACAGGTTGCCCCTGAACTCACTATGTAGTGCAGGCTGACCCTGAACTTGCGGCTATTATTCTGCCTTAGTCTCCCTGAGGTTACAGACATGTGTTACCACACCTGGCTAAGACATAAGTTTTAAAAATACCTTATTAATTCACAAGTGGTTCCTTTCCACTACCTAACTAAATACAAGGGATTTGACTATATGGAGGCAATAATCCTACAAAACTATTTTAGGAAAAAAAAATTTAAAAATTTTAATATTTAGGCCAGGAAATTCTCTATGAATATAAACAGCACCATTCAATAACAATTAGGGTCATTTGTTGTTGTTGTTTTGCTACCAGGGATGGAACATGGTACCAGGGATCAAGCTTGCTTGCCAGAAAGGCACTTATACCACTGAGCTACATCCCTGGCACTAGGTCTTCACTTGTCAGAGGTAAACACGAGAGCCTGGCTAAATCCCAAGTGCAAAATGGGACAGACATCAAGTATATCAAAGGCACGGTAAGTCGTTCAGCTAAAAATGAGCAGAAGCCAAAGATCAGCAGGGTAGGAGAGAACATACCATGGCAGCTTGGCGATAGGTGAATGTGCTGGGCTCCACACCATCCTGGAGATAGGCGGTCTTGGAGAAATGCTGAGACATGAGCAGGTTTTACCACTGGAGTTTGAAGAAACAGGCCTGAGGAAAGAAATGTTAAAGAGATCATAAGCACCTCTTATTTAACAGCGGCAAAAAGGAAAGCTACCTCACCTTAAATAAGTGCTCTCTCATCTATACTATGAAGGCAGTAAAGACTGAAGAACCAATGAATCACATAAGTAAAGGGGCCTTTCTTATTTTTTAAATAGATGGTTAACTTCTCTCTTTTCCCACTTATTCATCTATTTATCCAATATTCACTAAGTTTAAGACTGTGCTTGGCATCGGAACAAGACGAATCTTTGCTCTCATGGAACTCTGTCCACCTTGAAAGTTCCACCACTGCCTTCTTCTCTTCCAAGACCAATGTCTCCACTCACACATGCACCCTCTCACAATATTAGGGACTGTGCTCCCAGGAGCTTCTATTTGGAGGCAGAGTCTTACTAAGTTGCCCAGTCTGGCCTCAAACTTGTAATTCTCCTGCTGCAATCTGCAGAGTAGGTGAGACTACATCCATGTGCTCCACTCAGACCCATGAACTAACTTTCTCTCCCATTCTGGATGCTGCATGTTAGTTAAAAAATAGACAAAGCTACGTTTACCCAGCCATATCACTTATTCAGTGTGAGATAATAAGCAACTGAGTTAAACTGGCTCAGCATGTCTCAATTTCCTCATTTGTGTAAGGGAAACAACTGTACTTACTTCACAATGCTCTATATAAAAAATCAGACAAAGCATTGCAAGATGGTTAGCACAGTTTTCAGAATGTTAACGGCACACAGACACAGGTCATTTCTTGTTATTTTCTTTTTTAAATTTTTCCTTCCCTTTGGCCATTAACACTTGATGTAGTATAGTCAGCCCTTCTCTTGATCCCACACCCTCCAAATAATGACCATGCATTTTTCCCCTGTTCTTTCTTCCTTCACTTTCCAATCTTGTTTCTGTAAAGTGACGTCTAAAGTACTTCTTTACTCTCACGCTTTTGAAACATTTTTTTTTTACCTGCTCTAATAGATCACCAACCACCTCCACATAGCCATGGCCAATATTTACTGTTCAATTACAGTCTTATTAGGCCAGGGAGATAGCTCAATAGCATAAGCACCTGGCTGGCAAGTGAAAGGTCCCAAGTTCAATCCCTGGTACCAAAAGGAAAAAAAAACTTCATGAATTATACTCTTAGTTGATCTTGTTATATTCTTAAGAAAGCAACCCCTTTTTGATTTGATAACCTGGTCTTTTTCCTTACTTTAGAACTCCTGTTTTTTGGGATTTTTGTGACCAGCTCAGCCTGTCTTGGGGCAGGACTGGCTCTGGTGCACGTGGTGTTGGGGATAAAACAGAGGTCCCTTTACCTAAGCAGGTGTTTTAGACCGCTGAGCCATCTCCTCAGCCTGGTTTTGATTTTTTAAGATGGGGTTTCACTGTGAAGTTCAGGGAGAGCTGGCCAGCCCAGGCTGGCCTTGAACTTATGACAGTACACCTCCTTCATATCCTTTGGAGTGCTGGGAATGCTGAGTGTACTAGCCAGCACTCTTTTAAGTTCTCCTTATGATTGTGACCACACCCTATCAGTCTCCTCCTGCATTCACGGGTTTTCCCTAGGATCCTGTATTTGCCCATTGCCATCCTCAGTTCCTGTGCCCAACCAAGGCCTTGCATTCACTCTCATGGTTTCATTTATTGCCTATAAGCTGATATCCACGTCTATGACTCCAACCCTGACACCTCTCCAGTTTCAGTTAACTGCTTGCCAGGCTTTTCTGCAGCAAAACTTACATGCTCATCAAACTCAACATACCAAATACTGAAATTCTTCAACTCATTTTCTCATCCAAACTTTCATTCCTATTTTATGTTTTTTACTCTAATGACACTTTAGGCACTCTCTAAACTACGCCAGGAATCTGCAAGTAATACAGGGCCTCGTCTCTAAATTAAATCACCAAGGGCAGGGGTAACAGTACAGCAGTCTAAGAGCCTGCCTGGCAAGCACAAGGTCCTGAATTTGATCCCTGGTACCTCATACCCTGCCAGCCCTGAAACCAGGTGTGGTGGTACACATCTATAATCCCAGCACTGGGGAGAGAGACAGGAGGAGGATTATGAGTCTGAACTGCATAGGTAGACACTATACTAAAAAAATTTTAAAAAAACTTAAATCCTCACCAAATCTGACTGACATAGCTTACTAATATTCCCTGAGACAACCTCTTTTTATTTTCCAAGCTCAGGACTTCATCTTGCCTAGACTACAACAGCATCCAATCTCCCTGACTTGAATCTGGGCCTGCTCCATCTTCTACCATAGCCACCAACTATATTATCACAATGGCAAGCTGAAACTGAGGATCTGTTAAGTTTTTCAATGGCTACCCTTCGAAATCACCTGAACCCAGGATTGTGGGCCAGCCTGGGCAACACAGTGGGATCCTGTCTCAGGAAGAAAAAATAAAAACACAAAGCAATGGCTATACTTCAATACCAAGTAAGTGTACAGTGTTTCTTAACAAAGTACATTATTTTGTAGGCAGGCACAGTGAACTGGCCTATAATTACTTGGCTGAAGCAGGAGGATCACAAATTCAAGGCTACTCCAGACATTCTAGCAAGACCCTATCTCAAGCTGGGTATGGCAGGGCAAGTCTGTAATTTGAGCATTTGGCAAACTGAGGCAGGAGGATTACCACAAGCCTGAGGTCAGCCTGAGCTACACAGTGAGTTCAAGGCCTGCCTGAACTACACAGCTAGATCTGATCTCAAAATGCCATTTTTAAAAAGGGGACTCAGTAATTGAGTTCATATGCAAGGCTTTATATTCAATTCCTAGTACAAAAAAATTCTGATTTAATTCCTTCATCTTTCTAAACTCAAGTTTTTCCCCTTGATCTTCCCACCCACCAACTATACAATTCTTTCTGTTTTCTCTCATACCATGCAGCTCCTACTCCAGAACTGCTTTTGGCTAGCTCAGTAGCACTAACCAGACTGTCCTCCTTCCTTGGCTTTCTCAATCCTCAAATCAGGTACATGTCAGGAACCAAGATAGGTGCTGGGCACGGTGGGGCACATCTGCAATCCCAGCACTTGGGAGGCCCAGGCAATAAGACTGCTCTGAGTCTGAGGCCAGCCTGGGTCACACTGAGTTCAAAGCCAGCCTGGACCACATAAAGGAAAACAAAAACAAGATTTCATACTCCTTTCAAAATACAACTGAAATATTCTTTATCTAAACTGCCATAATTTTTGCACAAAAGTTTTGGCTTTACCTTAGATTATATGTACATGTATTTTCTTTTCTATTTTTTTGCGGAACCGGGGATTGAACTCAGGCCCTTGCGCTTGCCAGGCAAGCACTTATTCTACTGAGCTAACTCCCCCATGTATTTTCTTTAAAAAAAAAAAAAAAAAAAAAAAAAGGAACGCTCTTTCATTACACTCCTCTCTGTTCTGACCTTACTACAGTGCCTGGTCCAGCATCAATGGCCTACTCAGCTGATGATCCCCACAACACAAGCCAACTTAGGAACCCTGGGAAAATGGGCTCAAATCCTAATTCTTTTTACTAATTCGAGGGCGGCGGGCATTCTAAGAACAGTAAATAGAAAGAAAAACACAAAATGAACGATTATGGAGAATAGCTTCCAGAGGGCACTTTCTTTCAAGTTATCCTGTCACGTCAACCCGGAGCTGGGAGGTGAACCTCTGGGCCCGCAGGCGACGGAGCTCACGGCTCTCCTCGGGCAGGAGGCTGGGAGGCGGAAAGGAAAGGATTCCTGCCTGCTCAAGCTTTCTCACCACCCGGCAACCAAGTCCTCACTCCCAACCACTTGCCCTGCTGGAGGCTGCGTCAAGCACCTCCAGCTAACCACCCCTCACCTCGGGATCCCTGGGCCCCGCGGAGGACACTCAGCCTCAGGATAGCCGCCATCTTGCTTTTGAAGCCTCAAGGTCGTCCACTAACCCGGAAGTACAAAGTCTACCCCGTGACGACAAAAGAAAGCGCGGAGAGAACACGCCAGGGGAGCCGGACGTAAGTCCTGGCGCGCGCCTGTTGCGCATGCGCATAGCGCTCTCCCTAACTTTTACGTCTTCCGGACAATGGCGGAGCTTGGCGAGGCAAACGAAGCGGAGCTGCAGCGCTTGGTGGCGGCCGAACAACAGAAGGCGCAGTTCACTGCACAGGTACCGGACGGGAACCAACGCTTGCGGGTGGAGGGAAAGGAGAGTGTGATATAGGTCCCGACACCCACGGAGCTCTGAAGGGGCGCCGAGGCCGCCTGCTAGGTTCCTAGCACTGGCTATGTGACGGTCCTCTTGCAAGGGACAAGACGGGTCCTTTGGCTCCTGGTGGCAGATGGTACTCAGGTGCCTGCTAAACCAGCGCAGCGTGAGAAGGCCAAGGAAGGCGAGAAGTCTGGCCAGCGCTCAGGCATGGGAGGCTCCTTAGCCGGTGGGCCCTTTGCGGGCCCAGCGTCTCTAGGCAAGACAGCCATCCAGTGGGGATTTAGGTTTCGCCATAGCCCACTGCCTCACTAGATTGCGAAAATCATCTACGATCATGTATTTAACAATGAGTAGTAGAACATTTTGGGAGATAAGGGCCTCTGAAGTCAACAGAGCTTACTGTGTTTAGGGCAAGGGTTGTTGAGTCTTTAGGGCTTGTTCAGCTACGGGGCTTCACCCTGGCTGCGTGCATGACCTTGAACTTCCTGTTTATACTCATCTTTAATGAGTTCGGAGTAGACTAGCTCCCAAAAGTAATAGGTTCATGATTGTTTTCTCCTTTTGTGGGAGCGGTAGGCACCATGCAGGCTATGTGGCAGGATCCCTCACTAGCAACCTTTGGGTCCTGGACACATTTTCGGTGCCTCTATGTGAATTTTTCAGGGGAAGGAATCCATGCATGACCTTAACAAATTATTAAAGGTTCTCAGTACACAGCTCAGACTCGTAGTGATCCTCCTGTCTCAGCCTCCCCAGAGCTGGGATTACAGGCTTGTGCCACCACTGCGGGTTTCAGGCCTTGGGCAAAGCATGTGGTACCGGGGATCGAACTCAGGTCCTTGGGCTTCCCCAGCCCTCAAAATCTTAAACGTGTTCATGACCCAAAAATGTTTAGAACATACTCTGGGTTTTAGTTTAACAAATGGTTTAAATTAAAACCGGATGTGGTGGGACACACGTATAATCCTAACACTGTAATCCAAACACTAGGAAGGCTGAAGCACAAGGATCACGAATTTGAGGCTACCCTAGGTTACAAAGTGAGCTCAAGGCCAGCCTGAGCTGCATAGGGCAACTGTCTCAAAAAGACAAAAAAAAAAAAAAAAAAAAAAAAATTGACCCCTCCAGGAAGGAGATACTTCAGTGGCATAAACGCCTGCCTTGCAAGCACAAAGTCCAGAGTTTCAGCCCTGGTACCATATGTGAA